TTACTAAAGCATGTACTGAGAGCAGAAAGAAGAATAATGGTAAACCAAATTACTGAAAATGGCAAAAGAGCTATTGCTAAAGGGTAAGTACTTCATGTTGATATTAATACCTACAAAGGATTATGTGTTCTGAAACTGTGTATCTTCACTGAAGAATAAAATCATTGCGCTTTCTGAAACGCAGGATTAATAAATTGCTAAATTGAGTTGTGTAGTATCAGTCAACTTGATTGGTAAAGCTGTGCTCTAATCTAGGTTTGCAAAGTACAGTGGAAGTTTGATAGTCACTTCACATATGTTTATCTAGGGATAAATCAAAGATATGTGCTTAATTGTACACTTAACTCTGTACCGTGGTGCAGCCTAACTTGCATAGGTTGTCTGGGAAAGTTTTGGCTGTTGCTTTCATGCAGCACACAAACAAATATGCAATCTTTAGGACTCTGAACTGCTTCAGAGGAACTAATATATTATCAACAATGCAGCTTTTTAATTTACTTCGTGGTAAAACTGTGATTTGCTTGTGTTGCTTTTGTAGATGCCAAAGCTGTTGCTGATTATAAATAAGTACATGGTATCTGCAGTGTAGTCTTTAATGAATTTTAAGAAGCATACCTGTACTTGTTGGGTAAAATTCAGTAAACTCAAAATTTTAATGACAGTGTCAATTTAACAGTGAAGTAAATAATGTTATGTGTTAGTCTTAAAATGGTGAATGAACATGATATATTCTTAAAATACCCATTAATGTTAGTAGTTTGTCCTCAAGCTGCAGTTTCTGATGGAAGCGTGTGTCTGGGTCTGGCATGTGAGAGTTCAGTGTTGTCAGTGTAACTGGGAGTTTGAGCCTGTGTTTAAAGTGCAGGCGATCTCTTTGCTGCCTAAAAGCTATCCAGGTAAAGATCTGTCCTTTCATTCTGCTGTTCTTTCCTCTCATACAGCCGTGTTGGTACATGGGTTGTTACCTAGTACAACTTTGGCATTTACTTTTATAAAATACTGGGTCAGCCTGGAATTTACAGCTCCTGCTTTCTGCCACTTTCAGTGAAAAAGACCTGGTATCCCAAGGTCTTAGGTGAACTGGTGTTAACAGATTTCACTTAGTTATTTCATTACCAATGCCTAGTTTGTAGTGTGAATGAGTTTTATCTAACTACATGCAATGCTATTTATTTCCTGTTTCTCCAGTTTCTGATCTAAATATGATGCTCCTGACAAAAAACCCGAAAACACCCACACCTAAAACACAGCCCCCAACCCCAAGAACTCAGTAAAGTGTTCAGAATATTTTGAGAACTGTTTTTTTCTGAGCTTGGAATGCCACTATCAGTCTTTTGCTACTGCAAAATAACAGAATTCTCATTTTAACCTGAAAGTTAAATCTTAAATCATGACTTTTTGGTTTTGTGTGAAAAAAGTGCTTTGGATAATATTGGCTACTTTGTCGGTGAAGGCAGAAATCATTATCAGATTTGTGATGTCATCTGCCTTTTCTGCTGTGACAAATAAGTTTGTAATCAGAATTTTAATTTTGTAAATGCTTTGTGTTTCTGGCTAGCTGTGTGTTGTCCATGGAGAAACAGATTTCTAATAGGCTGTCTTCTTTTTATTATTATTTTTAAATAAGATCTCTACTTTGGACAGTTACTGATGTTGGATTAGCATTTTTGCTAAGCAGTTGAAATTGAGTAACTTAAGAAAAGAAGCAATATCTGGTTTCTGTTTATGAAATTTAGAGATAATGATCTCTGCAAAAATATAATTGTAAATTGATTAATTTGTTAGAGCCTCCTGAATGAACCAAGAAAGAGGTTTCATAACAGTTCTGAGAGTGAATAAGAGTTTTGTTTAGCCCAGCCACATGTGAGGAAATGCATAAATAAAGTGTATAGGCAGATTTAGAGTGTATTTGACATCAATTTGTCATCTACATGTTTCTTAGGTTATCTTAATATGACAGTCTCTTGATATACTTCAGCAGTACTCTTGAATGCTGCTGAAATGTGGAGATATTGGGATTCTTGAACTACTTACAAAGGCCAAGAAACTTGTTTAGAGCTTTCTGTTCTTCAGCAATACTTAGTTCTACAAAACTTCACTGCTAGTGAATGATGAGAAGAATGCTATCTGAGCATAGCAACCAAGTTTTATCTCACAGTACAAGTGCTTGGGAGAGTAGTATCGTCGTTAACATCTAGAAGGTGTTTTCTCAAGAACTGTGTCAAAACAGTTTCTTTTGTAGAAACAAACAAACCAAAACCCAAAATTGTAATAAAAATGGACATGGACAGCTTTTTATATTAAAATTTTAGCCTTAAGGCTGTGAACACATGTCTTCAAAAATAATGTTGTGACTAATGTAATTACCTGATTATGCAAGGAAGCATTCTACCTGAAAATAATTTCTGTTTGCAGCAATCCCATTGTTCCTCTAACTTCTTTTTTTTTTCCTCCTGTAGAATACCTATCTTGGGTGTATTCATTTGCTTCTAGGTCTTGTGAGAACAATCACTGTAGCAAAACTATTTTATTTTTGTGGTCAAATATCAAACTGAATTGTGGTTTGATTACCAGTTGTGTAGAAATTTGCAGAAGATCTTGACACATGAAAATCTGGAAAAGCATAAATAAATCAGAACAGATCTAACTTCCTTTCCAAAGTAGGATAAATTTTGCATACCTTAAACTATCTATAAATTAGATTTTTATTTGTTAGGCTCTCTTTAGAGGTGATTTGCAGCATGCCAAGATGCGTGTACAGGACAGGCACTCCAGGGATCAGCTAGTTGAGCCATCTCTTTCTGAGTAAAAAGCGAGCCTACATGATTAGTTGACTGTAACTGCCTGCTGTTTAGATAGCTGAAATTAGGTTAAAGGAAGCCCACACCAACTGCTTGGGTATCAACTCTATTTTCTAATCTTAGATTCCAGTGTTATTTGTAGATGGAATATTAAAAATAGGAATGATTTAATTTTTTATATTTAAAAAGTCTAAGATTAAATAAATTTTTTTGTGCATGAAAATAGCTCAGTTTGTGTCCCTAGCTATCACAGGCTTTGTGGCGAGTGATGCTTGTAAAATAGTGTCTGAATGACAGAAAAAAGTGGTGTTAGCTGCTCTACAATCTATTTCATTACAAATTTTTTTTACTGTGGTGTACAGAAAAGAACCTGTACATGCATAGTACAATTACAAGTGAGACATTAGCTCTTAACATTGCTCCAGAAATTAAATTACACTGAGGGGAGGAGTGTTGGGCTGTCCTTTGAGCTGGTTTTCTAGTAAATATCTGCTGTTTGTCAGTTATAAAGAGGTAAATAAACCAATGGGTTTCTTTGTCAAGTGTAGCATTTGTACTCTGATTTATGCTAAAATTCTTTGAGGAAATTTAGCCCCTAGTTAAGATTTAGCTCTTGATACTTCAGCCAGGGAGGATTATGGTCTGCATGCCATCATCGCAGGTTGTAGCCGTATCGGAAGCTTTGTCCAGCTTGTCTGCCTGGCAAAGCATGGCTGAGCGTGGTGTGTGTACCTCTACCAACTGCATTTTATTAGCTCAGATATATGCCTGTAAAAGCAAAGTGGCAGAAGTTTGTTACCAAAAGTTCAGCCCTCTTGGGAATATTTTTTTTAAAATGTTTTAAGCCTTACTGCAGCTTAATTAGCATTACTATATTTTTACTTCTCCTGTTATCTGTGCTGGCTAGACTAAAGCTAGTCAGACTGTGCCTATCTGTGCCTTCAGCATGCCTTAACTTGTCAGGTAGATAGAGCCTCCATAAGAACTAGGTGAGCATCTCCGAGTTAGTCATGTCAAAAGGGAAAGATCTGAGGTTGTTTTAAGATGTACTAATTTCCACTTATTTAACTGAACATCATGAAGTAGGGGAGTGGTGGTTTTCTTTAAGGGAGTTCAGAAACTGACAATAGAGGAGAATAAAACCTTGACAGGTTGAGTCATGCAACCGCTCCTGCCACCTTCTCACGGGGATGATTATTCTTTTACTCTGGCTGAGTAGACTTTATCACTGTGAACCTTCCTGGTCTGTCTTTATGATAGCCTCACTATGCCGAATTGTTCAGCTTTCATTTATCTTAACTAATCTGTCTTTCTCATAGTTACTTTCATCTATGTGTTTTGTCTGTAATTCTCTCTAAATTCTGGTTTTCATCCCTCAGTTACTGAAGAAAACACAATGGCTTGCACAAAAGACTTGCACTTGGAGTGCTCAAGCAGCGAAACTGTGTCTCTGTGGCCTAATCCCCTTCCAGAAGGAAAGCAGTAACGTGAACACTGTCCTCTGTGTTCTTAATATTTTTTTTTCTCAAATAAACTAAAGACATCATAAACCTTTTGGAGAAGAGCAAATAAAACCAGTCAGTAGAATATGTGCTGCAGTTTTGCCACAGTGTTTTTTCTTGGCAATGAGATAAAAGTTAGTCAAAAGCTTTGACATCCATTTATTGCTTTTATTCTGTCTCCTGGGCTTGTGTGTTTGCATGTATGGGAGTATGCGCACGTAGGATTTTTAGATTTTGTTCCATGGACATCTTTGATGTTTTATGGAATTCAGGGGATCCACACGATGATGAACCTTGTTCTAGAGACCTATGTCCGTACCTGAGTAGGGGAGCTCTAAAAAGTTCAGGAAACTATGGTGGAGATGTTTAGATAAATTGTATAATTCTCGTGGCTGGAAATAGAATTATTCGGTTTGGCAGAGAACTGGTAGCATTCAGAAATAAACTGCCTTAATTACTGAAAGATAATGAAGACCAAGAAGCAATGAAACAAGTGAAGAGGAAACATTAACCTACTTGGAATATAGCTTGCCTGCCTCAAAAATTGAGATTAATTAGGGACTAAGGCAAATAAATTATTCTCTGTTGCAGAGTATATAGCTCCCTCTTTAAGAAATGTTCCTTGCAAAACAATCTTGCATGATGAAAACTAACACCACATAGCTACTGTCCAAGACCAAAGACTTGGTAACTCAAAATGAGGAAAACTGTACGCATGTCACAAGATGGTGCTTGTCCAGGAGACTTCACGTGCCAGAATGTAAACTGTCCTCGTGTGAAGCTGGGGCAAGAGTTCCCCGGAGTAGCTTTCCGAGGTCACCTTCGGTCTCTTCCAAAAGTGATGGAGATTACAAGCTCTTCCCATGCAAGTAAGTCTCTTTGCAGCTGCTGGTATTGCTCATTGGCAGATGGAGTATACCAGACAAATTTTCTTTATTGCACTACGTATTATATACTGTGCTGTAGTCCATTCTATTTTGTCAAAGTACATTTGTGGCTCTTGTTGAGGAAATGGTCATCTGCTGTAGGTTTTACTCATGAAACTGGAAACAGGATATGGAAAGAGAGAAAATGAGATGAACGCTTTGGTGACGTGATTTAGGACATGTCTGAAAAGTAGAGATTGAACCGAACATGCAACTGTGATGAGGGTGATTTTGGCTATCATTTAATTAGCTGTATTTAACTTAACAACAGAGTACTGTTCTTGAATTGGCACAAATCTCTGCAGCACCCAGTTCTACATATTGGTGAAGTTAAAATAGGATCTAATTGTAAAGAACTTAAATATAAACTTAGACTCCTTTGCTTCCTGTTGAACCCCCTCTCAAACACTGTACACTTTCAATGTGGCATTTCATTGGATCGGTAGAATTATGTAGTTGGAAAGTTCACTTCTAGTTTTTGCATTGTCTACAGCAATTCATAATCTGTATGTACTTTCAGGATAACGGAGCTAGCACTGTGAATGTGGCAAAATGCCAGCTGTATTTCTCTAACATCTGAACTTTTCCATTGAGGAAAAAAATGCACCCTAGCAATTTGCAAAAACAATACTTTATTTCCAGTGACTAGTTCTACTGATTTTTCTATTGCAGTTTTCTTTGGGCTTCCTGTGTGCAGGAAGATGTATAAAGCGAGCACACCAAGGAGTCAAATTCAGAGGGAAAGTCTAATGGGAAGGAATTGGGTGATGCTTAAAAATGCAAATGAAGAATGAGAGAGGAGCTGGAAGCTCTTTTTGAGAGAGAGCAAGCTTCTGAAGAGACCAATTGGGAAAAATTTACTGGAGGTAAAATGAAGATGCATCTAAAAAATAATGCCAATTAACTTGAAGATTCATCTTAAGTCACTGATCTTTGTCAGGCTCAGAGAAATGGTATGAAGTAATCTTTCTTAACTAAGGATAGGTTATACTGATGACGGTAATGAGAGGCTTGGTATTTTGAAAGAGCAAAACAATTGTCATCTTATAAAAGTCTGTGATTGAATGTATGAGTTATCTCGACAACAATGTGATTTTATACATAAAAAGGGTGAGAGTTTCTGTAAGCATTACATGTGAAGGAACGCCCAGGATACTTTTTGAGACATTGGTAAGCTGCATCTGTAAGGTAAGGTTCCTGATGGAAGAACAAGGAAGACTAAGACAGCAAAGAATTGATTTAAAAATCACTCAGTGATTTAAAAAAAAAAAAAATTTAGTTTGATTTTTCAAATGTTCAGTTACCAGAGCTAGTATGTAGGAAATGAGAAAGCAAAATAAAGTTGCTCATGACCTTGCTGTGTTTGTTAGGTGTAATGATGAGATGCAGAGACCAAAGTTTCGAAGAACCAAGTAGACAGTATTTCTGTCAATGTTGACATCATTTGCACCTGTATCCAATTTAATAGGTAAAACCTATATGGGAGATAACTCCATTTCCACAGCAAAAATTGCAAGTGTACTTCAACCACGGTAGGATAGAATGGCCTGCAGCATAGCTTACAACAGGTAGGGCAACAACATTGATCTTGTATACTCCTCCTGCTGATATAGACATAACAAATACAGCAAGCAAGTAGTTTTTGCAGACTTTTGTAAATATTTACCTTTGCTGAAATTGCTAAATATTTTATTTTGATAGTGTGTTGCTAAGCTTACTGATATTTTTCTGGTTGTGCAAAAAATTCTACAATGTACAGCAATGAATATCTTACATGTAGGTGGGGTCAGCAAATAAGCTGAGCTCACTTGTGCAAGGCAGCTGCTAATTAACATTTTGGTGTTAGTTGTCAGAGCTGTGGGAAAAGCAATAGGCGCGTAAATACAGCAGACTGCTATCTACAAATACTTTTGGTCAGCTAAGTGTTTACTTCCACAAGCTTAATAAAAACTCTGTTGTTTGTGAATATTGTTTTTCCACAGCTCTGTTCAAAGCACCTGTCAGCAATTTCCAGCAAATTGTGCTTCTTTCCATGCTTCCCTTCCCCTCAGTAAGAATAGTACTGAACTTTCTCATAATACTATCGCTTATAGCAATTACTTTGGTGATGGTGCGGTATATGCTCATAACTGCGTGTCGGGGAGGAATCTTGTATTTGCCTGTTAGGTTTATTTTGTACGTTGATTGAGATTTCAAAATGCAGAGATACTTTCACTTCAATTATATTAAAATAATTTAGTGTAACCTTGTTGAATTGATTACCTTAAAAATATGCACCAAAAAATCCATCTGATTAATCTCTTGCTTTTGATGCATTCAGAGTACAAGACTACTTGCAGCATTCTCATTTGAGATAATCAGGGGTTTTTTTTATTTTTTATTTCTTTAATGGTTACTTTTTTTTGTAAATTAGAAAAAAAGTATTCCTTGGATTCATCCTTTCTTAAGGAGATACTCTTGGAAATCTCTGTGGTTTGTATTGGCTGAAAGACCAGGGAGTAAAGAGTTATAGGCAAAAGAAAGGAATTTTTGTTTGTCAAGCAGACTGTAATGGGGCCCACAGGTCTGAGAACTTCTGAATACTGGAATCAATTTTTTTTTTCCCCCTCCAGAGCTCATTTTATACTATAGTGCCCTTACATTTTTATTAAAAGTTACTACTTGTTAAAAAAGCTCTACTGATCTTCCATGTTATCTTTTTTTTTATATTGTTCATTGCATGTGAATACTTTGCTTTTACTATGCCTAATGTTAGGTTTTAACTTCAAAGCATAAGAGGAGTCTGAAGAATGCACAGTCTAAATGTTCACAATACAGTAAGGGTAAAGGCATCGTGAAGTGAGCACATTTGACGTCTAGGATTAGTGGGCATAGTGAAAAAACAACAACAAAATAACACCAAGATCCAAAAAAGGGGGGGGGACACTTTGGTTGATACTGACTTGTATTGAGATAACAGAATATAGTCTTTGAGTTGTTCAGTCTTACTAAATCTACCTAATCTGTTTGGACATGCTGCTCAGAAGTTGCTCGTAGCATTAGTAATGATTCTAAGTGCACAACAACTGTCTTTTCACTTGTCGCCGTTCTATATAAGAAATAGTTATAAAAGGAAACATTAGAGAATAAAGGCGCAGATAGTGCTGTAGCTGTGACCCTACTTGTAAATTTTTCTGTGAGGTGACTTTTTATTCTATTTTAGTGAAAATGGAGGAGTGGACATAGCAATAACTCTACCTTGAGACTAACACCTCTGATATTGATAACGTTGCATAACTTTAGATACTAAAAAGAAGCAAGTTCAATTGACCAAACAAGTTTATTCCCTGTGGTTTTTGTCAAGGTTACAAAGTCTGTCCTTCTGCTTTTATCAAAACTTGCTTCTTTTTTTCTTTGCAGGTCATGGCAACCATAAAGAAAACAGTCCTTTCCTGAACAGTTCAGAAGCTGGCAAGGGAGGTGATTACTATGACAGAAACCTGGCCTTGTTTGAGGTAATTTCTGACTGTTTTTCTTACTTCTAATGTGATTTGTGATCTTCCAAGATCACATGGTATTACGTGGAAGACAAAGCTTTGCAAAGGTCTAGGTGGTACCTAACTCAGTGCATGGCAAATCTGAGCGCCTTTGCTGTGTTTAGGGGTATGTCTACACAGTGGCAAAATATAATGGTACCAGAGGTGACCTGAATAATTTAAATAGTGAAGCTGTGACACTGCGGGCTAATGAGTGTGGGAAATGAGCGTGGGCTGATTTACTGTGTTAAGAAGGACCATGTTACTCTACAGGAGAGTGCCTAAATTCAGGTAGTCAAATTAGCTGGGTATCCTGTATTACAACTGCACCATGTCAGTAATACGGATTTCTCTGCCACATGTTTTTTTGTGGGTGTATGTCTGTCCAAGGTACCAGGCAGAGATAACCTGTGTGATGACAAAGCTCAGATGTTATGACCACTTGGGACTGTGAGGCAGAGAGGTATGACTGTTCCCATGTGGAAGTAAGGAGGACCAGACTTTCAGGCAGGAGGCCAGTTGGAGCCACACCAAGTCCAGCAGAATCCTCCCCCGCATCCTCACCTCACTAGCACTGTATTAACTGTAAATATATCATGGTGCGCTAAGACCAAGTTTCTAAAACGTGTTTTCAGAAGCTCAGGTGCTAGGGACTGATGCAGAGAGCCTTTGTATGGCTCTGCAGCTGCTTTCCAGCTGGGCTTCTGAGGTACAGCTTCACAGCAATAGTGGCAATATGTACCTGGGGTTTCCCATTCTGGGAACTCTGTGTGGGGCAGCCTGAGCTGGCTCTACAACCCGCCTGTAGAGTTCAGCTGTGTGGTATAGAGCCTGAACAAGTGTAACTAACCTGCTGCTAGATAGGAACTCACCGTGGAAATGCTACAACCGCTGTGCTTGCAGGCAGTGTGCTTGAGCTAAAAGACTTTGAACCGTGCTCCCAGCTGTGGTGTCTCCTCCCTCCAAAGCATGGTAAATCTGTGATCAGCATAAACTCACTTGCAGATCATGAAGAACTGGCCACTTGTGGCACAACTGCTGCTGGTCACCCGCCCGCCTTTGTCATAAGGAATAACACAGTACCACACCAGGGCTGCAGGCTCTTTCGGTGCTACTAGAGAGGAGGAGGAGCCGGTAGCATCCCAAAGGCCATGCTGCTCAACTGAACAGGAAGCGTGTGTTGTCTCAACCCCTTTAGCACATAATGTAATGATCCTCCAAGAAACTCTTTGTGATGATACATGAAGAGATATGATAAAACTCCGACAGAGAAATCTTTCTAAATAGGTTTGTATTTGCTGTGTAGAAAGTTGTTTTTCTCTTTACCGTGCATTAGTTACTGTGCAATTAGACCTGTAAGACATTTTAATTTCAAAGAGAAAGGGGAAGTGAATGTTCTGGTTTGTTTTTTTTTCCTTTTTTCCCCTTGAACTTACTTTCAGAAACAGAAGTTGGGTGGGATGAATGTAAAGGTGTGAGGCCTCCATACATGTGGCTTTTGGGATTTTTATCTAGATGCACATAAATTAGATTACATAGTTTGAAAAATGTAATAAAATTATCAGAGTGCGTGCATGCATGCAAACAATGGCCGGAGTTTAATCACTAAATCTCTGATTTATTTGGCAACTTGACCTTTTTAAAAGTGTATCTGTTGATGTAAGCTGACATTAGAGATACATGCAAGGTACATGTCCATTTTCTTACAGTCCCAAGGCTCAGACTTCTTCTCCATTGCTGTAATTCATGTTTTTCAGCACCTGAGGAGAAGGGTGCAGACCTGTTGGCAAAGCCTTTTCCTGTCAGGTTTGCTCTCCTTTCAGAAAATTAAATCCTCTCATCAGTGGTGCAGGCACAATGAAATGTTCTGTCATTCCCTGGATGATTTTCCTGGTGTGTTCCTTGGCAGCCTGAGGCTGCCAAGGAAGTCGCGACCCCAGCCCCTCTCCATAAATCCCATGAATTGCAGAAGTTGACTAGTTGTTGTCTTTCACAGGAAGAACTTGATATACGACCAAAAGTGTCATCTCTGCTTGGCAAGTTGGTCAACTACACAAATCTTACCCAAGGTGTTAAGGAACATGAAGAAGCGGAAAGTACTGATGGCTCGAAGAAGAAAGTATCAAAAGTAAGTAAAGATTCTCTCCGTGGCCAGGAGAACAGGACGATTCCCTGTGTGATTTTTGGGGAGCTGGACTCCTTTCTGCTTTATCTTAACCTCTGCCAGGAGCCATGACAGTAATGCAAAGAAATAACTCTGTAGGTAACCAGATGTTACCAAAGAATTGGGGCAGATGTAGTGGTTAAGCACTGTGCACTACAGCGCGGTTACGTACACTTGGTATGCCTTTAGGTAAGGAGGATAGGCTTTTAGCGGTGAATCGAATAAACAAAAAACCAACCCCCCCAGCCTTTTCCTAGTGCTGTTTTAGCTGCCTAGCAGTATTGGACACATCTCTACAGGCCTGGTAGGTATGACAGATGACTTGCAGGGGACAACACCCTTCTAGAGTGGTGGGTGGAGGTCGGATTGGACACCCTGGGGCAGCTCAAGTGTCATTCTGGTGTTAGGCAACTGAACTCTGCCCCAGAGGATCTGCATTTAGGTGGTTAGCCCATTTTGACCTTGTAATAACTATGTAGAAGGTGGGGCTTGATTGTTGGTAGTTAGATTTCTATCAGGAGGGCTGTATTCCAACCACTCTTCACAGTGCTCTGGCAATCAGGCAAGTATTTCAGCTAGTGCTAAACTCTCAAGTGGTATGGTTGCATTTTATGGCATTTGCAGGCCTGTCGGATTGCTTGCAAATTTTGTCAAAGGAAAGTTTTCAAAAAAACTAAGATAGCACTTGAATTCTACTGATTTTATAGTACTGTGCCGTCAAAGTTTGAGCAATTTCAAAAGGAGATGGCAGTGATAATGTTGAAAACCAGCACGTTGTTCTCAAAGAGAATGCACGTTACCCCATGCTGAAAGATGGACTGCAGCTCCCTTGCGCTCCAGTTCCTTACTCTGCACGGTTTTACACTGGGGTTGACAAAGTTGTGTAGTCAACATGAAGCTTAAAATTTAGTTTTATCTGAGATGACGTGGACTGAAGTGCTGTAATATTGTGGTTAATGTGACGTCATTACAAGACTGAGTGAAGGTCGTCTGGGGGCAGTAACTGTGTTCTGATACAATAAGCTTACATTAAAAAAGTACTTTAAACATCTGAACTGTGGATTTCTTTTGTGTGGTACTTGGTGTTATGTTAATTGCTTAGTCTAAAGTTTTTACCTTTGCGACATTTCAGTCAGCTGCATCTCTGTTTTAGCATGCTTTTGGTGGGAATAATGTCAGACATCAGCTGTTAATGTGATGTTATTGCAAAATATAAAGTAATTTTCTTCCTGTCAAAAGCAGATTGATTGTTACCCTAACAAAGATAGAATGGAGAGGGATACAATAGGAACAGTCCTTACTATTTTGAGAAAATGTTGATTGCTTTTGCTGTTTATTTCCTTCTTAATTGCCTGACCAGAATACCAGGGTAAGATGCAGTCTGATGTGAAGGCTAGTCGCTTACTTGCCTGTTGGAAAAAGAACTGGGAGAATTTGGTGATGGGTCTGTAGTGTAGTTGGTTAAAGCAAATGCACTATGGATTCATAAGGTAAAAATGAGGCAAATAACAGGAAACTGAGAAGTTGTTTTAAATCCCTGGTAGAGGAACATGTAAGGTTCGTTGTTAATATTTCTACATCTAGGTATGGTTTATGTAAACATTTGCATAGTTTCAAACTGTCGATGGCCCTAAAAAAGGACTGTTGTTCTTGTTAAAGCTATGCTTCTATGGCAAAACAGAGTTTGGGCTTAATACTTGGATTGTCCTGAATTATGCTTTCCCTTGTCCCAAAAATGTGTGATTGCAGGTTTCTCAAATGTTTTTTGTAGAATGGGTTGGGTAACCATTCCAAAAGTGACAATATCATCCTGTGTTAATATCTCAGTATTTTTTGTGTAAACACTGCAGTTTCCTTAAGTGAATCTTTGCCTAGCATGTCTGTCTCTGGGATAAATTACATCAGCTGCAGTATCATAACTGTAGTTTGAATTTCTTCTCCCTTTCTTGCCATAAGCAATATGAAATTTTAAACATCTTTAGAATATAAGAAGGTTGAGTATTAACTTGGCCAATAATTACAGCCATTAAACCCAGGAAATTCAAAAGCAGTAACTGCACAATGCTATGGATTGAAGGTATCGAGAAACTGCAAATGGGATTGTTCTACACATTTGTTTTTAATCATCTTTGAAGTATAAATCAATATACTGCTGTTACTTTATCCTTCCTATTTGAGCATTAGTACAAAAGCATGAGTATCTACCCCAGCATGATAGCAGGTTCTGTTTTTAACTGGCTCAATGCTGAATGCTGTACTAGGTATGCTCAGCAAATACACAGCCAGCCAGTGTGACAAAAGGTAAGCTGCCTGGCCTGATGTGTCATTTACTGGAACTGGCAACTTATAGACAAGAATTGGAGTGAGGAAGGTGAGCAGACTCTAGATCTGGTATTCAAAAATTGAATGACAAAAGCAGTCCTTTCAGTAGGCGAATATACAATTCTCTATTTGAGCAGGTAAGACAGGTCTCTCAGTGAATACCTTTTTGTGACCTAGCACACCCTTGCCTATCCATTCAAATTGAAACACACATATCCATTCAAATGAAAAGAAAACACAACCCTAAAAGAAACCACAAAAAAACCAAAGCAACAAAAAACCAGACACGCAAAGAAGAGACAAGGCAGTTGTGTGCACATGAAGGGGCCAAATCTCTGAGGGGTGGTATCGAATAAATGAGATCTCTCTTCCAAAGTTTAAGCTTGAAGGAGTAGAGAAGGATGTGCTTTAGCTTGTGGAGATCGTTGGTGTCGGGACCTGCTTTCTACAGTGACAAGGCCAAAACAGACCTGAACGTTTCCACAAGCTCTGAAAATACATTAACGTGACTATCCCCCTTCTAAGCTCTTGGAATAATTGCTGCAGAGTTTGTGGAAGATGCCAGTGAAGATCAGGACAGTTTCAGTGCAAAGCAGCTTAATGTAAACATACTACCCTCTTTCAGCATTCCCCTTTAATATATTTGATAGTAGTATTCTGTCTTAGATACGCATCAGATAAAATTGACACTACTCCATGTAATAGGGTAAAAATTGGGTTGCGTTTTATTTTTTTCTAGATACAGTCTTGTATGAAAGCACTTAATAGACACAGTGCTATAAAAATATCCCATTCTCTTGATGGAAAAAAATTAGATTAACTATTTTAGTTCATGTATCTTTAGTAAGGCTGTTCATTTCTGTGCTGCTGTCTGTCCTCATGCTACAGAGCAACCGCAAGAGCTGTCGTTACCGATCAATGTTCCTGAGCCCTGCAGCCAAGTGTTTTGATAACCTGTCACGCTGGCACAATGGAAATGATGTCCTTCAGACTCAGATCAATATTTGTATCAATTAGGCGTCTGCAGCTGATTAGAATGGACGGAAACATGATCTGCATCACTGAAACTGAGACTCTTTTCGGGATTTTTCTGTCCATTCTTGGTTGATCTAAACCAGCGTTCTTCAAAATGTTTTTGTGTTTTATTTCCTTTATGCAACATGGGGTGTTCATTTTTTTTTTTTTTCGTTTGGTAGCTGTTGAGACTGAACATAATACCTTTCTTATTTCAGATGGCATTCCCTTGAGACTTCAGCACCGGTTTAGTATCGCTTACTGGTTATAAGATGCTATAAAAAAGGGTCAAGTCACTGCCGGTTACTGGTGTTAAATATTGCTGTGAGCAAGCTGGTTCAAGTAGTATTTGTGGATCATTATTTCATACCAGTTTTTTTTTTATTCCACAGGGTAAGAAAATCCAGAGTAAATTCTTATGCCTGAGGTACACTTAGCAATACCATGGCTTGGGTTTTGTCTGCGGGCACGCACTTATGCATGTGCTAGGCTACTCTGCTCTGCAGTAGTTTCATAACTACACAATTAATGTGCAATTTCTCTTCCTCTGTGGCTGAAGTTAGCTTGTAACTCGATATGCATAACAGGCCACTTAAAAGGGAGGAGGAGGAGAAGATGAGCAGTAGAGCAAAGCTGGAGGGGCCGCTGGGGGAGAAGATAGGAAAGAGCTGAGCTAAGGTGAATCTTATGCAAAGGAAGCAGGTGTTGGGAGATGTGTAAAGGGCAGGCTGAAAACTCAGCTGCTTGGATAGTGCTTGGAAGACTGTTATATGGAATATATAATAACTGTGCTCCGCTTGCTTCTGTTGCGTAGAAGCAATAGGTTGGGCTTCTTTCCTTTTCCCCGATGCCGGTTTTGACAAACTCTTAGAAACTGCTTTACCTCTGAGATGCCTCACATCTGATGAATTCACTTGATGCTGGCTGCTGGGTTCAAAGATGTTGTGAGGGGGATGACTAACAGATGAATGGTCAGATAGATGATAAATTACGTGGAATGTCCCTTTGAGAGGCAAAGAGTACATTAATGTAATAATAGGAAGCCCTTATGCAGGGCAAAATCTGCCCAGTGCCTGACAACGTTATTTAGTTCTGTCTCAGTTGAAGGCAGGCAGTTGAAGACACAATGTGAATCAAAGGTGTTTGAACCAAAAGTATCTAAACCTCCCCTTTTTGAGGAAGCAGGTACACTGTAAAGGATACCCTGAGAAGATCCTCCTCCACTGTGGCATTGGAACAATTTGTTTAAAAATCCTTACCTTACCCTGCTCAGGACACTATCATACAAGTGTCATTTCTGTTAGTATCAGAAGACAATTTCTTTTGCTCTAATACGTAATCTTGACAAAGACTATCAGGTCAGTTCTATAGGATGGCAATTTTTGTACAAACAGCAAGTGAAATTTTAGGGATTTTTTTTTTTTTTTTTTTTGCGCTGTGGCATTAGAGCAGCTGAGTAACCTCTCTCTATCCCCATGCTGGTAGATCTCATAGGGTAAGCCCATTGCAAACCCTCAGCACATGGTTCTGTTGCCCATTTTACTTCAGGAGGTTCATCCAAGTTGAAGCGTGTATGAGGAAAGGCTGGTTGATCTGAACTAGCTTTAGTTACGGAAGGAATTCAAAGCTGGCTTCAAAAAATTCAGTCAGCAGTTTCTGGCATTTCTAACAAAGAATTGTTCAGATCGTGTTCTCAGGCACAGTTTTCTTTCATCTCTGGCAGGGCAAATTCCTAATGCAGATGAGGAAATTTCGAATTGTAACGTGCAGTTGCAAGTTGAAGCACTAAATTCCTAGGTTGCTTATTTTGACCTGGTGGTATTACAAGAAGTTGATTTTTCTAGGCTTTTGCTTTGTGTAGTAAAATATACTTTTGACTTACCTTAGGTAACTAAACTTTTCCTTAGTGAAAACAAGGCAAGAACAGAGTTTTGACAGCCATTTTATTGCTGTAAGAGTAATATGCTTGTCTTAAGTCCCATTGCTTTTGATTCGTGAGTAATTTGTCAGTAAGAGTGCATGTTACCTATTTATTTTTGCATTTAGTTAATGCTAGGTGGAGTCAAATTTGAACAAGTGTTGTCACCTTTCTTTAATATCCTTCTCATTTAGATGGGCTCATGGGTTTCTTTAAATGCTGTCTGTAATGTTTTGGAATTCAAATTTATGTGTAGAAAGAAGTAGGAAAAGGGATGAGCCTTTGAGAAGTTACACTCTCTATTCCCCTTATGTTTCAGTGTTCTGTATAATTTTAAATGCAAAAGAAAACTTCAGAAACCTGAAGCAATGAAATGTCTTGGCAGGAAACCAGAGATTTGGGACTCTGATTTGCTGCTTGTGCCAGGTGTGCCAGTGGAGGGAACACTTTCGTATTGCTTGAAATAAAACCCTTAGCAGGGGCATTTTGATATCATTGTTTTGGATCTGACTGTCCTCTGACAATAACTGTTTGGGCAGAGGAGAATTCCACAAGATATTCCGTTGAATGCCAGTCATGCAGTTCCTGTGAAGTCACCAACTAACTTGTATTTTCTCAGTCACTGTCAGAAGTAATTCAGAGTCTGCTGCTAACATTATTTAATGTAAGAAAGGTAGAATCATTAGTTTTGCGTGAAATATATGGAATGGAAGGAAATACATTATGCATGTCTCCAGATTGCTCCCAAATGTTTTCTAATTGTAATGTCACAAAAGTATGTTTTCCATGAATCTAATTTGTAAACTCTGGGGAGAAGGGTGGGATCTATCTCACTTGGCATGTGCAGCACTCAATGGGTTTCATACTAGAAACTCTGTGGTTCTACAATAAATACACGTTGTTAGTAATTGGTGTTAAATGCTGAATATAATTACTTCAAATGTGAAGATGTGACAGGGGTCAGCATTTTGTTCAAAAATTTGTGGGTTTGCTGCTAGGAATTTGCTTTGTGTTTTGTGGAAGTCCAGTGTGATGGTTTTGTATGTGTCTACCTTGTATTTCCCAGATTTCTACCATTTGAAAAACTGAAGCCGTAGGAATTTTTATTATTTATGCTTTGAATTATTCCAGTTAATGAATGTCAATTAACTTATTTTTCAGTCACCCAGCATGGGCACCCTGATGGGGGTGTATTTACCATGCATGCAGAATATCTTCGGGGTTATTCTCTTCCTTCGGCTGACTTGGATGGTGGGAATGGCTGGAGTTCTTCAGTCCTTCCTGATTGTATTACTTTGCTGCTGTTGTGTGAGTATATAGGTAAAATAATGTGTGTGACATAACCTCTGTGAAACTACTGAGAAACTTGGAGAGGCTGCGTTGTAGGTGCATGTGTAAAGAAAAGCCAGACTGATGTTAGATACTTCTGCTATGTTTGTAGCCATGTGATTTCTTCCCCCCCCCCCCCCGTCTTTTTCTAAACTGGCAAACCGTATCTAGTGTAGATACGGTCTTAAAAATGGTGTTTGTCCAGCAAACAGCTGTTTTCTGTCCCTGTCCCAGGTCATGGCTGCCTGCTTTGCTGGACTAGCCTTTGTTGGAATTTCAGCTCTGCAGATGGAGAGACACCTGCATTCTTTTATCTTGCTTTGTCTGCAGACACCCATTATTTGACCTGATAAAGCAGTGATCATCTCAAGCAAAAGTCTCAACAGCTTGATGATTAAATTCCTGCTACCCTTGTTTTCTTTCAGATAATGACCTGTCAAGGCAGAATAAATAGAAATATTGTATCTTATATGCAGTGGCAACTTTGCGCTATCAAGGAATGAGTTACATTTCAAAAAATGTTGACACTATTGCTTCCTTTTCCTTGTTTTCCCCAGACTATGCTGACAACCATATCAATGAGTGCTATTGCCACAAATGGTGTTGTTCCAGGTAAGTGTAGTTGGCAAACTTCTAACTTCTAATTTGTGTTTAAAAAAAAAAAAAAAATTAAAATTGCTACAAGCTATTAATGTGGTTTTATTCCAGAGAAACTTGCTTAAGCCAGGATACAAAGCCTGAATTCATATGTAGTATTTTGTCTTAGTATCAGTTAGGCTAAAGATTAATTGATTTGGTTTTTAGTCACTCCTGTGCTAACAAAAAGATACCTCAACTGAACCCCCAAAAAGCAGATACACAGTGTATAATTTTGCTGTATTTTTGTTGTGAATACTTTACCGTTTATAACAATCAATAAATGATAATTTTACTCTCACTTTTCTTGTTTCATAGCTGGTGGCTCCTATTTCATGATATCCAGGTCATTAGGCCCAGAGTTTGGTGGAGCTGTAGGGCTGTGCTTTTATTTGGGAACAACATTTGCAGGAGCAATGTATATCCTTGGTGCCATTGAGATTTTATTGGTGAGTAGTACCAGAGTAGTCCTGCTTTTAAGACAAATAACATATAGAAAATACCACACTATTCTTGTCCCATGTTCATATATGTGTTTACAGGTAGAAACCAGAAGGTCTCCAGTTTCTCAGTGACCAATTCTGTACCGCTAGTGCTTCCCTTTGGAAGTTGCACACTGTGGGTATCCAGAATAGAAGGTGCCCTGAAAACGTAGATGGAAGTATGACTTAATCAAAGGCACATGCTCATCATTGATAAAGTTGGCTCAGTTGTACTACTGAAATACAATGGGCCGTTATCCCTTGACTTTTCCTATAAACTGAAGATTCCTGGTGAAGAGCATGTTGCAAATTGGAAAGTGATTTACATTTCTAGTATAGGTGCAAGTTTACTATAGTAATATAGACAGAGTTCTGTTCCTGTCTTCCTTCAGCTTGCTTTCTTCTTGTTTCAGACATACATTGTGCCACAAGCAGCAATTTTTCATCCATCCGGTGCCCACGATGCATCCAGTGCTATGCTAAACAACATGAGGGTGTATGGAACTGTATTCCTCATCCTAATGGCAGTGGTGGTCTTTGTAGGTGTGAAATACGTTAACAAATTTGCTTCCCTCTTCTTGGCCTGTGTAGTAATATCAATACTGTCCATTTATGCTGGAGCTATCAAGTCCATCTTTGATCCACCTGAGTTTCCGTGAGTACTATTTCTGGATGGGGGTATAGCTTTGCCTACAGGTCGTCTTCAATGGAAGTTACATAAAACTTGTGCCTAATACATTGTCAAAGCTACCTTTTTTGCAAATAACTTCAGATTTTTTTTAGCTGTGTATAGCGACAGCGACAGTCTTCCACATGCAAAGCTCGTGGAATAGAAGTTTCTTAGGCGAAAATGAATACATTATTACATTCGTTAACTATTCCAGTAGAGTGAAGTGTCATGGTGAGTATACAGATTGATGGAGGCTGACATGTCTCTGCTTCCTGCAAAGACAATCCAGTATCTTAGCCTACGGCTGTTGAGTTAGATATTAGCAAGAATTTTGCTGGGCTATTTATGGCAGTTAGTAGGAAGCAGTTTGGCAGGTCTGTTTGCCCCAGGCCAGTCAGACATGATGTGCAGCCTTTGTGGTTGGAAACTGGTGGTGTGATGCAGCTGCGTGCTGAGGCTCCAGCAAAACTTCCCTTGGTCCAAGAGCAGATTAGTCCGCCATATGAGTAGCCCTGCTCTGAACACAATGTGTGCTCCTTGGCATGTTGGCAGTTAAACATGTAGTATGGTTTCTGAAACTTGGAGCCGGAGTGGCAATAATGTGGATGTATGTGTTTTACCAGAAACGCAAACAGTGTTTCCTGATACTGCTGACAAGAGACGAATGGAATGTAGTATGGTTTCTGAAACTTGGAGCCGGAGTGGCAATAATGTGGATGTATGTGTTTTACCAGAAACGCAGTGTTTCCTGATACTGCTGACAAGAGATGAATGGAATGGAAATAAAGGAGTTCAGTCTGCATAATTATTCACATCTTAAAATGTTTTGACCATAACTAAGTACTTGCAACCCTCAAGTGCTCCCTTCAGGGCCCAATGATTATAATGTTTTACAACAGTGGTAGGTTTACAGCAGTAAAAATAAAACAATGGCTCTATCTCCCCCTCATTATCTCTTGGATTGTTCTTCAGTGTTCTTCCTGTCTTTCTTCCTTGGGCTGTATTCCCTTTTCTTTTGCTGAAGTGACTAGGTACTGTATTTATTTTTAATTCTGGAGGGGAAGGCTTCATTGAAGTTACAGTTCACAGGCCTGAAAACCCTACAAAAATGGCTCTGCCTCTTCCATTTTTTTGGCTTTAGTGATTGGTAAGACCTGTGAAACAGTTAAATGTATTAAAATGGAAGAAACTACTTTTTTCTGTGGTTTTTTTCTGGCACTGCGAACAGAAGCCGAATGAACTTTCAGTGGCAGCAAGCTGTTAGTTATATCACCATGTTAAGTGGAACCATCTTTGGAGAAGCGGATTAAAAATTTTCACTGCTGGAATAAACTGTATTTGTGGTTAGGTGAAACACAACAGGCACTGGAGGTTTTAGCAATTATGCGTAGTATCTTCTGACAAGAACTGCCTTTGCTTATTGTGATTGAAATGTATGTTCCTTCTGAAGCTAAAATGACAGGGGTCATTTGAGTGCTCCTATACAGAAACTGGGATAATGCGATTCCATATATCTTTAGATATTCTAAGTATCTAGTAATTTGAATGCTACTATTCTTCAGATCTCTTCCACTCCAGCAGTTCTGTTTAACTGGGGGGGTGGGGGGGAAGGCCTAATCTCTCCCTTTCATTGTTTAAGGTAAACTTACCAAATTCAATAAATCACACTGATGTAGGTTTTTATACCTCTCCCAAAATTGTTGGAAAAGCAGCTTTACACTTTTGACCCTTAAAGGAAACAGACACACAGTCTTTGTCCTGCTACCACTATCCTTTTGAAACCGAGCGATGATGTAGCAGACTAGAGCCTCTTGAATGTTCCATGATATGAAAGAAGAATTATGGGGAAGGGTGGATACCATTTTCCTGGTACCATGTAATAACACTGGTTTTCATGTTTCCCTTCCAGGATTTGCATGTTGGGCAACAGGACTTTGTCAAGAGATCAGTTTGATGTTTGTGCCAAAACTGTAATTAAAGATAACGTTACTGTGGCCTCTGAGCTTTGGAAGCTCTTCTGCCACAGTACCAACTTAACCACCGAGAACTGTGATGAATATTTCCTAATGAATAATGTCTCTGAGATAGCAGGAATTCCAGGAATTGCTAGTGGCATTTTAAAAGGTATGATTGAATATTTTTTTCCCTTAAAGAGGAGGCATGCCGAGCAGTTGAAATGGGTTGAACTGTTCCCTGCTGGTTAAGAAAAAGGGGATGAAGAAATGTCATTACAGTGAAGCAAATTATCTTCAATAAAGAAAACCAAATCTTAGAATCTTTAAAAAGAGTAGATGGCACTTTTCTCCTGATACAGTACTTCTCTGATGTAAAACTGATTAAATTTGTTTTGTACATCTGACAATTTCAGCAGAAAGTCAGCTATAATTGAGGCATACTAACATAAGTTGTTAAAATTTTTCAGAATTCCATGTAGCTATGACTCTCCATTTTAGACAAGTTAAGATTATGTCCTGAAAGAGTACTTGTATAAAACCAGTGTACGTCCTTCTTTGCCCGCTGCTGAATATAGTGTCATTGAAAAGTGTTCATTATTGAAATGAAGTCCAGAGAACAGCTGCTTTGGGCAGGTGCTGAGTGCCTAAGCCTCCCATTTTCACAGAAACCAGTAGGCCGGTTTCTAAAACAGACTCAGCATTTATTAGTGAAATTTCAAATGCCAATCATACAATTCTGTAATTCTTCCACTGTCTAAAGAGCATATCCATTTATATCTAGAAAGCTGGTCAGTATTGCTGCTTTGGATTCTCTGAGCCATGATGTGTGGGTGTGGTGGTTCATTAAAAATATTCAATGTATATATTGTGGTTAAAATAGGTATGAAGTTAAAAGAATGTTACGTTTAGTAATATTAAAGGATAAAAAGTGCTTAGACTGCTCTAGGCTATTCATACGTATTTATTGTTTTAGTTACAGATTCCCTTGAAAGCATGCAATATAAATTTTCTTTCATGTAGCTGGTATATGTCTTAATTTTTGTTGATCACTGAATTGCATGAATTGCATTTGTAATCTTCAGCTGTAGCCCCATTATAATAAGAACAGGTTTGAACTGAAACATGCTTTTCTTTTCTGTGGTGTGATAATAACATTGAAGACAACTTGTGGAGCAATTATTTGGAGAAAGGAGAGATACTGGAGAAAGCACATCACCCCTCTGTTGATGTAGCAGGCCAGAAGAACAACCTTCATCTGTATGTGCTTTCAGATATAGCTACTTCATTCATGGTGCTGGTTGGCATCTTCTTCCCTTCAGTGACCGGTGAGAATACTGGGACAAGAAGGCGTCTTGGGTCTCTGGGCTTTCTTCTCTCCCGTGATCTTACGTCCAAAATGTATTTTCAGGTATCATGGCTGGTTCAAACAGATCAGGGGACCTCAAAGATGCACAGAAATCCATTCCCGTTGGAACAATTCTTGCTATTGTTACCACATCATTAGTCTGTATCCTTTTACAATTAGTGGAGTCCTGGCACGTTGTGACTCGGATGAATGACTGTGTATCTAATTTGTGGAACTGCTTTCAGGTGACTAAATGATCAGTGTGAGTATGACTGGTGAGTGGGGAAAAAAAAAACCAGTCCTTGAGCTGAAAGCATCAGAATTACTATCCTGTTGTTCTCCATCCTCCTTTGTGTTGGGTTTTTTTGTTTTGTGTTTTTGCATTTCTGTTGCTTTTCTTTGCTATGCAGTGGTCTATAGCTTTTCAGGCTGGTGGAATACAAGTATAGTATACCTTTTTTTAGGATGCAGTGGACCATTAAGATGAGGGAAGGCTTTAAATGGGAGAGATCATAAATTTCAGTTCCTCAAAAATAAAAAAAAGTGCGCCTTTAAAAGCCTTTTAAAGGAGTATAGGCTTTCTGGAACGTTTTAGGGCAAGATAAACTGGAGCTAGAAATCACACTAGATGGTCCCCAAGTGATTTTTTTTTTTTTCTGTTTTTGGTTTGGTTTGGGTTTTTGTGGGTGGGGTGGGTGTGCAAAGGTTCATGTGTAGACTCAGCTGCTCACTAGAACCAATGAATTTATGTATGTATTTTAAAGTCAGTGAAACAAGATCATCTTACATAAGCTTACAGGACTGTATTTTTTTTCCCCTTGATTTTTAACATCATCATCTGATCTAATGCTATTCCATGATTCGCAGTCACATCCCCAGCTGGCATGCGTGGAAGTGTTACAAACAGTGTGCTCAGCAGTGAGCTCCACGTAGCTGTGAACAACTGGACATTTCCCGCCTGTTTCCACTGACACTGGAGTACGTAATTTGTGGAATATGAAGGTGTTCCTCATACCAGATTTCTAGGTGGCGTGTGCTTGTGTTGAGAGGAACGGCCTTTGTCCCAGTTGAAGTTGCCAGGTTTTGTATCTGGTTAAACTCTTCAAGGCTAGGACGACAGGAGCTTTGCTTAGGAAAGACTGTTTTAACCTCTTCTCTCCTGCTAGAGGAAAGATGAGCTGAGGTCTTGCAGCTTCATCTAGTTGTTGGTGTCCCAAACTACAATTTATCAACATAAGAGATTAAAAAAAGCAAGGCAAAAGGTAATTAATATGAGCAAGGGCTTCAAAACTTCTTTATCAGAGCTTTCGGAATAAATCCCACCCAAAGGGCAGCTGGCTGAGGTGACTATCCTGGAAATTCTGTTGTTTTGAACCTGTTTTTTTGGCAAACCTTGACAAGCTGTGAATCAGCATCCCAGCTCACTTGTCCCAGCTTCTTGGGAGTGCAGCTTTTCCAGATGTTACTTTGGGAACTGACCCTGTACCAAGAAGTATGTGTTTCCTAGGAAAGTAATAAATATTAAAACAGGTCACAGACATAACCCCCAGCTCTAGTATTAAAATATTTGCAGGTCAAAACTTAACGTTGTGATGGGTAAGTTTATATGTAGATATTAATACGCCACCCAGTGGAAGGCTTACACTGTAATTTTTAGGAGTGATCAATGTTTCCCCTTTTATTACTCTTTGTATTTTACAGTTGCATTTCAGGGGTAGAGGGTAGAGTTTAGGACTTAACTATTCATGTAAACTTAAATCACAAGGTCAAAAACTTTACTGGAATGCCAGAGTACAAGTATTTTGTACTCCCCAATGCAGTAGTAGTACAGTTTAATAGCAAACCCAATATTCAAAGACTTACTGGTGATGTGAATGCCATCAGAGACCACAAAATGAGAAAGTGCAAAGTAACGGTTTGCTGTATGTTTAAAATAACTTCAAAGGAAATAATTTTATATGTAAATGTCAATTTAATCTGCTAGATTAGGCCAGAAACTGAGATTAAAATATCTCTTTTCTCTCTCCTTCTCTTGTGTCTGAAGATAGGTCCTTTATTGTAACATTTAAAACTATCTTTTTTAAAAATTGAAACTTAGAATAATAACTCTGTCACTTTAATATTAGAAAGTATATATGAGTAGTGAGGCATTAATTTACTCATGAGCTTTACCACGTACTTATGAAGATGCTGCAGTGCAAATGCTGTAGGACAGAGGCACGTGTTGAACTTTCCACGGTATTTTCTATGGTTGTTTTAATCTGCTATGTCTAAATAAATCCTACTTCCTTAGCATACTGTACTCAAGACTTCAGTTGTGTGTTATTATTTGGAGCCTGCATAGAAGGTGTAGTTCTGAGAGATAAGTAAGTTTTACTGCTTTAATGCTCTCCTTTCTTTTTCTTTTTATGCAGGGCAGATGTGTTCTTTTCCATCTTGTGCCCCTCTCCCCCCCCCTTTTTTTTTCTTTTAGTTCTGGGTGCCTTTTAAACCATATTTGTATGTAAATTGTAAACAATGTTTTATGAATCTTCTTGTATTTGATTTGATACAGATTTTCCGTCCTATGTCTTAATTCCTTCTCTTCCCTCCTCCTGCCAACTGCCCCCTATTTTGATGAGCCCTCTTTAGTTTGCAGGGGTACTGGAGCCCTTGCTCGGCTAGGCGAGCCCGCAGTCCCAACGCGAGTGGGGCTGTGCGAGGGCGGCTGAGGGAGGTTTGAGGCCAGGCACCCCTTTTGGGGCTGGCACCTTTGGCCTGGGAGCAGGGGCTCAACGTTTACAGTTTGGAGGATGGACGCTGATTTTGGTCGAGAGTGACGTAAGGAGTTCCAGGGGTATTCGTTCAAAGATCAGATCCCTAACAGTGAACTATAGATTGGTATTTTTTCTTTCTCTTCCCTAGAGAAGCAAGATACAAACCAACAAAGATTACCTGTCTTTTTTTTCTTTTTTCTTCTTGAGATGAACCTGAATTTTTTTTTTCCTCAATTCGTTGTCCTATTTTTTGTTAATTACTGAGTTTGGCAAAATTACTCTTTGCAAGCTGTTTTCTGTCTTCCTTGCCATCTGAGGTACTACTGTTGATTTTTTTAAAAGTACTGGTGATGTCAATAGTTTATGCCGAATACCTGAAATTATTTCAGCCTACAGTATGTTAGGAAATAGCTTGCAGAGTTGCTCTAATCTTGCTTGTGCTTGCTGACCATGTTGCCTAAGTCAATGACCAGTCTAATGTATGTTCCCTTTCCCATGCCAAAGAAACTCTTAAAAGTAAGCCAGGCAGATGGCACACGTCTGTATGTGTGCTCATAGTGGTATTCATAGGAAGAATTATTTCCTCATAGTATTTGTGATTCTTTTTTTGCACAGAAACTCAGTCAGACATCTGTAACTAGACAAAGTTTGGTATTTGGTAATCTCTGCCCTCAGGTGTTCCCAGTAAACCAAATGACAGTGGTCCCAGTACTAGAGTCTACAAGTACTTTTTCTGTGAAAATTTCCCTCATATTGACGGATTCTTTCCAGTGGACAAGCAATGAAATGCTTGTGAATATAATTGTCTGGGGAAAAAAAACCCCAAACAAACAACAAACCAAAGCAAGCAACCAAAAAAACCCCAGTCTTCTGTAGGGATGTCTGATACTGGATTGTGTTTGGTGTTTTAAGCATTAAACTTACTTTTTTTGTTAAGAATGAAAGTGGAAAATAATGTGATAATAACATAACGGTTTTATAATATAAAATCAAAAGAAAGTTTTCGAATTGTTGAAATCAGGCTGCAGACACTTCCTATCTGTGTATTAAAAGTAACTCAGATTACTTCCTGTATTTCCTAATCAAGAAAATATATAATATATAGTATTTAATATTTAAATGACATCTTAAAACAGACCAAGAAAATCAAAAGTGAGTGTCAAAATACTCTTTTGGATACAAATTTCTCGCTGCTGCTCTCTGCAGGTACGGTGATGCAGTGAACAAGAACTTAGTGGTGGGGACCCTTTCGTGGCCGTCGCCATGGGTCATTGTGATAGGATCCTTCTTCTCTACCTGCGGAGCAGGTTTACAGAGCCTTACTGGAGCCCCCCGGCTGCTGCAGGCGATAGCAAAGGACAACATCATTCCTTTCCTCTGGGTTCGTACATCTTAAAGGCATTCTGAACATAGTAACTAACCAGCTATTTGACTTTATGCTCTTGGAAATCAGATTTATTTTCCCTTGTTTGCCTAGCGTTGATGTGAAGGTCAACAGTTTTTATTTTAATGCTTTGGGGTTTTTTTTGTAAAAAAACCCTACAAATATTTATAAAGGAGTTTGAATAGTAATATGGTAATTTTATGAAGAAATCTAACATCCAATTCAGCAAAGCACAAAAAGCCATTAGAATAATTTGACTCTAGAGAAAAAAGTATGTAGGAAAATTACTACTGTTTTTTAAAATGTTATTTTTTTTTCATTATAACCTTATGAAATACTTGGAAGATATGCTTAATGCTTCTGTTTCTTCAGGTTTTTGGTCATGGAAAAGCAAATGGTGAACCAACGTGGGCTCTTCTCTTAACAGCATTAATTGCTGAACTGGGAATCCTTATTGCTTCACTTGACATGGTGGCTCCAATTCTCTCAATGTAAGAAACAGGGCGTTGCTTTTTAAGGGGATGGAGGGTGGGAGGAGAAAAGAGTGATACTCTTTTGAGTTTTGCTAATTTGATTGTCTTTCAGAACCATATCTTAAATCAGTAAAGCAAATTACTGGAGCCTGAGTTCCATTTCTATGAATTCTCTGGCTTCAGGGTCTACATATAAATTTATTTGTTTCTGCTCTGGAGTATTCTGTGAATAAACGTGTTTTTAGTATATTATTATTTTGTTGGGGGAAAACGTTATTTTTGTCACAGAACAAAGATAGTGTTGATGTTATGGATTGATCTGACTTGATCCAATTAAAAAACTGTTCTAACTATTTTATACTTATAGTTGAGGGTAATAAGAATCAGAGGGATAGGCACATATGACAGGGCAGCCGTATTTTGACAGTAGATCATTTCTGTGATTATAATACATGCCAGAATCTATAAATGTGTGTGCTAAAAGGTTTTGCACTTTTTTTGCTTCTGCAGGTTTTTCTTAATGTGTTACCTCTTCGTTAATCTGGCATGTGCAGTACAGACGCTTCTTAGAACCCCAAACTGGCGGCCCCGATTTAAATACTATCACTGGTAAGCAAAAGGCCAGCAAGCTTTACATCTAGTCTGTAATCTACAGGATGGGTTTTAGAAGAACTGTCTCCATGAGGGTTGTGGCATCTTTTATTTCTCTGGATATCAGTTCTAGACAAGAGTACATTGATGTAATATTCATAGTGGACCAGACCCAGATATTTAATGGCTTGACTGTTTCATGCCTGCAACACGATACTAAAACTGTCAAGGATGGGGGAGATTGGAAGCTTTAGTTTCACTGCCAGTTCAGAATAGACAATTTAAAGAAAAAAGAGGAGGAAAATAATTGACTTCTTTTTAAGCTTTTCTACCCCACTACTCAGTAATATCTTTGCTTTTTTGTTGCAGGGCACTCTCATTTTTAGGCATGAGTATTTGCCTGGCACTGATGTTCATTTCATCTTGGTATTATGCTTTGGTAGCTATGCTTATTGCAGGCATGATTTACAAGTACATCGAATACCAAGGGTAAGTATTAACTGGGTAGAAAAGGGTAGGACACAGACTGGGTCTACTTTTCATGAATCATCTCTAACCTTCGCATTTGGAGAAGGAACTGCCCAGAGATATGACTTAGAGGGCTTCCCTTATTACTTTTTTTTTTTTTTTTTCTCTTTATTTTACTGTGTCAGTGCTAAACAAAAGCCCCTGAAGTGCTTTGTTATTAAGCCTCTAAAGGTGTTTGGTGAAACTTGAGAGTCACAGGAATCAGAAACCCTGGCTGGGATCCTCTCTCCTGCTGCCTATCACACATAATTACGTCAGGCCCTGAACTCCTGAAGGCAGCCATCTTATTCCAATTTATTTGGTGCAAAGGTCTGTCTAGAACAGTCCTTGAATAGCTGAATCTGCAGGTTAGGTTGCCTGAGATTGTTAATATCTGATGGAGTCAGGCTGTACTATGGCTATGTAAGTGAATTTTAACAAATCAGGTATTGAAATGCCTGCTTATGCTTGGGAAGCATTCTCTGTAGAGGAGTGCTGATTACAAATTAAACACAGAATGTGTTGTGGTATACAGCTGACCGAAACATTCACATTTCTCTCACATGATATGTGGTAAGTATCACAGGCATACCTGTACAAATGATAAATATACACGCGATGCATGCTGTGTGTCACATTATTAAACTCATTATAAGGTAGTGATTTCTCTATAGCATGACTCTAAGTGTGCAGTTAAACACTCATGAAACCATATATGTATTGGCTAAATTGTGTGTTCTTCACAGTGCGGAGAAGGAATGGGGTGATGGTATCCGGGGTCTGTCACTCAGCGCAGCAAGATACGCCTTACTCAGACTGGAGGAGGGCCCTCCGCACACAAAGAACTGGAGGTACTAATTTTAGACTAATAAAACGCACTGTCATGAGTATCTACTTCACTTAAGGAATTAAAATGGACTCCAAATGAGATGCTTTTGGTCTGTGTGAAGGAATTTAAATGCACAGAATGTTTAAAAAAAAAAAGTGTTGAGTCTGAGGTAAGCTGCCCTGTCACTGCCCAAGCCCTACTGTGTGGGCCCTGCATGGGCAGAACTTTCGTGTTCTTTGGATCTTTAGTCGACCTCTGAATTGGTGAATTCAGAAGTGGAACTTGGGAAAACTGTGGAGATCTCAGAGTAAAGAGGTCCAGAGGCCCATGATAATTTGCACAGGGGGCACAAAGAAGTCACTGCTATCGTTCTAGGATTAAAAACCAGAACAGCAGCCAACATTTCTCCCTCTGGGTTTGTGTGTTGAAGACAGATTAAGTGGGCAAGAACCCTCTTCTCAGTTATGCATTGCACAACTCCTAGTCCTCTTGTTCAGAGCCTAAGAATCTACCAAAGAGAGCGTTTTATAAATCTTTTTATACTTGGTCAACTATAGCTTAAGAGAGAAAATAACTTAATTGATGTGTAGCAATACCTTAAGGGACAGATGGGATCTGTGTTTAGATGAAAATATTCATGTTTCCCAACTGTTTGGCAGAAGTATCCAAATAGATCTGAAGGACCGCCTTACAATATGAACACAGCGTGCGCTCTAATAGTGCTTAAAAGAGACTTGAAAATCAACCATGTAAATAAAACACTAATGCAAGCCTCTTAAGCTAAGTACATGAACGGGTTTTATGACTGTCAAAACAATGCAGCAGAATTCCCTCAACGCTTCAAATCTGCTTTGAATCAAGAGAAACAAAATATCAATTAAAATCCCTCTAATGTGTGAGGTACAGAAAGGAGGTACTGTTTCAGAGTTAATATTTGAGCACGATTGAAGTGATGAGAGAGGCAGGTTTTTAGAAGTGTTTTTGTTAAAGCCTTAGTGAAAAATACATTCCCTCTTTTTATTTTCTCCAGGCCTCAGTTGCTAGTGCTTCTGAAACTTGATGAAGATTTGCATGTAAAATACCCTAGATTGTTAACATTTGCATCTCAGTTGAAAGCTGGCAAAGGTTTGACTATCATAGGATCAGTGATCCAAGGGAATTTCTTGGAAACTTATGGAGAAGCCCAGGCTGCTGAACAGGTCGGTGTCCTAAACAAATTCCTAAAGTAAAAAGGGGTGAGTAGGCAGGTGACTTAAAAGTTTCATAATCATCCATGGAGAAAAGTGTGGTGTGGTGATAAGTATATTACAAAAAGCATTGAAGGATGGTTCTGAAAATTTGTTAGAAATAATTTCATCTTCCTCACTGTGTAAACATGGCATCACAGCCCTGTTTCCATCTGTATGGTATCAGCACATCACTGTTTTCTTCCCCAGAGGCTTTTTTTATACAGGCAAACTGTTACAAAGGAAAAATTCGTAGGTTTCGTTTTTAAACAAGTAAAGGGTATGGTATTCTTGATAGGTGTGGGGGGGTTCAGTGCTTATATTTGTAAACTGAATGTAATAACACAGCGTGTTACATAGAAATCTGAAACTGGAAATCTGAATGAAGTTAGTTAACCTTGGGTTAAAAAAGGTGAGTGTTTTAGGATTAGAAAATGAGACAGTAACACAGATATCACTGACTGCTACTATGAATGAGAGAGTATAGCACAAACAAAAAAACCCTTCTCAATCTCTTAGATATTATGTTTGGAAGGGAACTGTGCATTTTAAACAAGTATTATTCACAGTTAATGGCTATTTTCTCTTCTGTTCTATTAAGGAAAGCAGATGAGCAGAACTTTGCTTTGAAATATGTTTTACCTGTGGATGTGTGAACCAGGAATTTACACTGAAATCACATGACAGAGAAATGCTAAGAGTTCTTTTGGTTGTGAGTTTTTTCCTTATCTCTCTTGCAGACTATTAAGAATATGATGGACATTGAGAAGGTGAAAGGATTTTGTCAAGTAGTTGTGGCCAATAAAGTTCGAGAAGGAATTGCCCACTTGATCCAGTCCTGTGGACTAGGCGGCATGAAACATAACACTGTGGTTTTGGGGTGGCCATATGGCTGGAGACAAAGTGAAGATCCAAGGTCATGGAAGACGTTTATAGGTGAGCTTTAAAGGTTCTGTCTGTGTGAACAGAGATGTTTATTACACATATGGTACACACGGGGGATGTTAACCGAATCTATGTGAAACTGGTTTTGGTTTTTCTAGTAATGGTTGTGAAGTAGATAATTTCTCACAAAAGTGCTCTAAGTTTAAATTTTACTTCTTGTAGGCAGAAGACCTATGAAAGACCTTTAAAGATTAATCTAGCAACTAAAATTCCTCTGCCTAGTGAATGGTTAAAAAATTCCGGACTTGAGAAATACCAGTTTTATGGCAACATATGATTTGTTTCCTAGATAATCTCTGCCTTGTCACTGGTCCTAACCTATCCATCTCTTTCCACTACTGGAGTGAACACTCTCCTTGCCTGTATGCCTCTCCTGCCCCTGTGGTCCGGTTACTTAACACAGTCAGATTGGAACAAAGCAGGTGCTTTCTCCTCGTACTGAGCGTTGAAGCTTGCTGCTTTTATTTCAGACATGAAATAGGGCTTGTGTTCCTGCAAGTCTGTTTTATCCTAGCTTTGTCATTTGGTCTGACCTGTCTATACAAGCCTTGCTGTGCATACTTGCCTTTATGCAAGTGATGACTTTTATGGTTTGCTGACATTTCCTCAGTAACTTTTTAAAAAAAAAAACAACAACCCACAAACAAACATAGATCACACTTTCAGAATTGGAAGTAACTGTCTGTTCTTCTCCTTTTGGGCAGGTACTGTTCGCTGCACAACTGCAGCCCATCTGGCTCTGCTGGTTCCCAAAAATGTGTCTTTCTACCCCAGCAACCATGAGCGTTACAATGAAGGCAACATTGACGTGTGGTGGATTGTGCATGACGGAGGCATGTTGATGTTGCTTCCTTTTCTTCTCAAACAGCACAAAGTAAGGAGCTGGCCAAAGAATGTTTGCCGCCCAACTACTTCTGTGTGCAGTAGTTTAAAGAAACAAGGTCCAGTAGTGGAGCCTGTATTGATAAATGAGAGTGGATATATTGATAAGTTTCTGTTTCATAGAGCAAAATATTATTGGTTCAAATACTGAGAGTTTGCATTCCCTCATCAGGTTTGGAGAAAATGCAAGATGAGAATTTTTACTGTTGCTCAGATGGATGATAACAGCATCCAGATGAAGAAGGATTTGGCTACTTTCCTCTATCAACTCCGAATAGAGGCAGAGGTAGAAGTAGTAGAAATGGTAAGGGATTTGAGCCGTTTTTCACTTTATGATGCAAATGGTGGTATTTGGTTATGACTTGATTACAAGCACAGTATTTTTTTTTTTATTTCTGCAGCACAATAGTGATATCTCAGCATATACTTATGAGAGAACTCTTATGATGGAGCAGAGATCTCAGATGCTGAGGCAAATGAGGCTGACAAAAACAGAGAGGGAAAGGGAGGTATGTCATTTGTGGTTGATTGCTACGGGCTGCTGAGGTGAATGACACAAAGTGCCTTCCTACGAGTGTTATATATAGCTGCTGCTTAAATTTAACTCCTGTGTTCTAAAGGTGTAAGGAAATACTTTTAGTGTAGCTTTTTTGTTTCCCAGAATTGCATGTAGTCATTGAATAGCCTGGCTGTACTTGCAAAACCATGCTAGAAGTGGTTTGTTTTGGGGGAAAAGGATAGCAGCGTATATGTTGTAGAAACGACTTGTGTGTTCCCCTTTGTGATGTAAATGATAGTCCATGACTTGAGGATGTAAGTCTTGTCTCAACCCTTTCTTGACCTTGTTTTTGCTTTATATGAGATGTCCGGGGTTTGTCTCAATTTGTAGTATATCCTGTTTTCCTACTGACGATTTCCTTCCAGTTTGGACACGTAGCTATGAAAGGTGCAGATGATCTAATTTTTCTGCATGTGTTTGTCCAACTATGTTGCTGTTGTTGTTAGTTTTGAGTCAAACTTGTCCATTGTTTCAGACCATGTCATGATGTGAGCTAGACTGTTGTTTTTTCTTGTATAATACCAGGCCTCTGTTAGTCCAAATTCTGCACGGCTTACACCCATCAAAACTGTTTAAAGTCAGTTTGGTCTGTAAGATCATTGGCTAGGGCAGATGCCTGGTACCAGAGCTGTCCTAAATGCTGAATTGACTGTTCCACTGTATGCTTTATTTTGTACAAAAGGTCTTTAGTTGCTTAAACAGAACCAGGGAACGTAAAATAAAGTCTCTGAGTTTACCTCATCATTCATGTGCCTTCTAGGCTCAGCTGGTAAAGGACAGACATTCAATAGCACGTTTGGAGAGCCTCTACTCTGATGAAGAAGATGAGGGGGACCCGGTTCCTGAGAACATCCAGATGACCTGGACAAAAGAGAAATGTGATGCTGAGAAGCGGAACCGAGGCAGTGCTGTGGGAAGCTTCAGAGATCTCATCAGCATTAAGCCGTGAGTCTTGTCTAAGTCAACAGCTTGCTCCTCCTGAAACTCTAGATGTGCTGTGCTTTTGTCCTTTGTCTCTTAATCCTTGGTTTAGATTTGCGCAATAAACATTGAGACCCGACTACTGAAAAGACAGCAGTTAGCCTCCTGAGAAATCTCTAACCAATTAAATGTGGCACACATCCCTCAACATTTTACTTGGTGTAGTCAAACTCTGTTGGAGCTGTTGAATCCTATTATAACTTACCTCCTGTACCCCAAATACCTCAACCACACAATTAAAAACCAGACTGATAATTTCCCTGATCTAATCAGAATTTAAAAAAAGACTAACAACTTCATTAATGTGTAGTCCAGATGCTTAATGCAGCAAGGAAGAAGCTGTGAAGATGGTGCTGAATGACTGTGAATAGAACATGTGTGTGATAAAACCCTCCAAGACAGGCTTGCTGTTGAAGGAGCACTGACATGTAACAACAGCCATAGTATTACCACGTGCGTGCCCCATGAATAGGTAGAAGTAAAGCTCTATTGGTGCCTTTGTATAAAAACGCATGAATCTCCTGTGACCTCTTTGATGTAGTACATCTTACACGAAGTGTTCACTCAGCTTTGCATACTTGACAAAGTTCCAGATTTTTCTTCCTCGTAAATCAGTGAGAATTCAAATCTGATTTAGGATGAATCATACATAGTTTATATACTGTAGAAATTCTGCTGAATTTGGTGTTAACTACCTGTACTTTTTCCTCTTCCATGCTTTCAGAGAGTGGGAAAACTTGTAAGTTTGTTATTTAACTTAGAAGTACATTAAGATGGTTGAGAGGGAAGACTTCATTTTCTCAACTAACAGCAGGAAAACCATGTAATTATGGAAGAAAAGGAGTTAGAGTTGAGCAGTCTTACCAATGTTTTTAAAGGGAGCAGGATTAGCCGCTTATGCTAAGTATCATTATAAACAGCACGTAACAAACTACAAGAGTTGTCCTGACAAGAACTAAGTCAGGATAGAAAACAATTAATTACAGGTTTGAACCTATTCTCTTAAGCAGAGTATGACACAAGAAGTGGGAAACATTACTCATTTAGAGAAGCTCTTGTTCCAAAACACTGCTTTGATGTTCTTTCTGGCAGTTTCTGGACACTAAACAAACGCCTTCTTACAGCCTACACCTTCAAATCACTGGGGAGAGGCCATTTTAAATGTCACTTCAGAGAATACCCAACCTTTAGTTTTCAATTACTTTTCCAAAACTATACATAGTTAATGACAGTATATTGTTTCTGGTGCTGGTTTCTTCCTCACTTCCTGTACACATAATCTGGCCACTGTGTTGTCCCTGGCTTTCTGAAGCTGATGTGGTGAAGGCAGAGGATGTCCTTGCTCTAAATTAAATAAGAACGTGAAATTCCAGAGAGGTAATTCAAAGTGGGTAAATTGTGGTGTTAGTATAATACAC